TCCTCCTTTGTCTTCTGGAAGGGTCTTGCCAGATGCAGGGACTGTTCCCATGGTGTCATGGAATGGAGGTGTGGCTGTGCAGGTCTGCCACAGATGGGACATCCCAAAAGCATTTTGTACTTCTTTCCTAGTTTGGTATTATGTATCATGGTGAGAATTTTGCTGTTAAAAATGCCACATTGTAGTCAGAAGCAGGAGCCTGGATTATTCCCTGATGATAGCGATTATCTCAGTGGACTGATATTTTAATGAGCCTGCATATTTGAATGAGTCTTCCAATATGAGGAGAGCTGGAGGAAACAGCTGAGCCCCCGGTTAATCTTTGGCTCATACAGCCGCTCTCGACTCTTGACTTAAATTACCTAGGAGAACATACCCCGGTCTGAGCTTGTTTTTAACAAACAGCAGCTATCTTTTCACTGTCTAAAAAGGTAATGAAGGATGATGCAAAACAGCTTTTCCCTTCCCATACATATATATAAGGAATTTAATATCTTGTTATGGATCCTAAGGCTGGTGTGCTAACAGCAGAACAGACCTTTTCTAAAGGGCTTTGCAATACCTTCCCTCTCAGAGCCACCTCACACACTCCTGAAGACCATTTGTTCCATCCTGGTATTTTTGGCCACTGTGTGACAGAGTGTTGGACTGGATGGGCCATTGGCCTGATCCAACATTGGCTTCTCTTATGTTCTCTTATGTTCTTATCCAAGTAGACAAAAATATTGAAGGTGGGGTTTCAGAAGACAAAGAAGCTGTTTCCACATCTGTGACCTGTTTTGCTTTGTTTTCCACAGTGGAGTTTCTTAGCAGAGACATTCTGTTTTTAATGTATCTCCCAACATGTGCTCAGGATTAAGCAGTTACAATAATACACGAAGAATGGTAGGGTGGGAGTGTAGCCATATCATGGGCTAAGGGTGGTTCATGTTCTTGTTTAAGATTAGAAACACATGTGAGCTGTTATAGAAATGGATTTCTATTGAAGAATGCCATCTTGCCAGCAGCTTATAAAACTGCACCATAGTGAAAAAATAAAATAATGTTTGAGTCAGAATTCCTGCTTGGGCTAATGTCAGCTCTGCATTGGCCTTTCCCCCCCCCCCCCCCCCCCCTCTCATTCCTTCTTCCCTTTGCATTGCTGCTCCCCTCACTGAGTCTCAAATTGGCCTCTAACAAACTTCATTTTTTAAGCTGCACTTAGTCAGTTCTGGTTTGTATGTTGCCAGTCAGAGAGCTTGTTTTGAAACTGTGTTTCACAAAGGTACATAAAAAATACATGAGCCAGATTCTTAGACTCTTGTGCGCGCAAGCCGTCAGCAGCATTGTAGCCAGAATGAAAAAGACTTTGCCCACAGAAGCACTCACAAAACACAATGAGACAGTGATTATCCGAAACCCGTACCAGGATGCCTATCTATGGCATATAGTAGCACTAACTAACCCAGTTTACCTACTTTTGGATTGTTGCTATGTTTTTCAGTGTGCATATGCCAGAATTTGGTGCTTGTTCTTGGCTAAAGAAAGTTATGGGGGGGGGAATGTAAAGCAGCCCCCCTCTTAAAGTACAAGCCAGCAGAATAGTGATTTTCACATATAGCCACACCAGCTGTTGTGTATTGAAACCTACGTTAAGCTTGAGTCTGAACCAGGATTGCAAATAGACCAATCAGAGCTGCGCAATGTTCTGGAGGGAAGCATTCTGATTGGACCTTATCTGTAAATAGTTATTGGTTGTTAGCTGACATGTGGGCATGGCTACCTAAGCCCGGACTGTTTAAAAGAGAGCCTGTTGCTCTATGTTTTTGTCTCGTTCTGATTTCTTCTGACTTTGTTAAATAAAGCTGATTCACTGTTCACTAGCTGTGTTGAGTCTCGTACTTAACACCAGCCAAAGGAGCCGTGCTGTCCAACTAGTCCAACTATGTCATTCTTCATGCTGCTGGTAACGCAGGCTTCATGATAAATCTGCTGTCTTCATAGTTACGTCCCACAGGTTCTGTTGCACAGTTGTTTTTAGAAGTAAGGGTAAAGGTAAAGGTTCCCTTGCTCGAAAGCCAGTCGAGTCCGACTCTAGTGTTGCGGTGCTCATCTCCGTTTCAAAGCCAAAGAGCCAGCGCTGTCCGAAGACGTTTCCGTGGTCATGTGGCCAGCATGACTAAACACCAAGGCGCACGGAACGCTGTTACCTTCTCACCGAAGTGGTACCTATTTATCTACTTGCAATTTCTTGCTTTCGAACTGCTAGGTTGGCAGGAGCTGGAACTAGAGACGGGAGCTGCTACTAAACAGTGCTTGGTCCCAACAGAAACACAGATATTAGTTCATATAATACTGGAAGGCTATGCTAGCAAAGTCTTCTTTGAGTCAAAGTACACAAGGCTTCAGACAGGCAACCCTCTTAGGAAATCATTCCACAAGCGCCATGCCTAGTCTGCAGGGGCGGTCTTAGTGATTCTGGAACCTCAGGCAGAACTCCAGAGTCTGCGGCAGTGTAGAAGATCACAGTAACTCCCTAACAGCAAAGGCTTCAGGCCAACGGCTGGGGCAGCTGGCTGCAGAGCAGTGGGTGCTGCCAGAATGAGGCTCAGGGCAGCTACTGTAGATGCTCCATGGCAACTATCTGCAACTTGGCCACTAGGTGGCAACTACATGAACGTATCTTACAGCTATCTATATATCTAATTCCAAAGATGCCCCCTGTGTGCGGATACCTAAATCCGTGCATCGGGGGCACCTGGGGGGGAGGGAGAGTTTTGTGCACACTTGGGATGGTCCCCAGGTGTGCACAAAAATCTTAAAACTTTAAAAAACTATCGGGGGGATATTAAAATCCCCCGAAAAGCGACAGAGCATCCTCTGCGCATGCGCAGGGAACGCTCTGCAGACGGCCTCGCTGCCGCCGCCGCCTTGCAGCTGGCCAGCCGGCTGGGCCCCAGCGAGGCCCGG